GGGGGGGGGGGGGGGGGGGTGGTGAGAGTTTTTACGTCCAAGCATGAAGATAATGAAACTGGTTGGTTTCAATTTACTTGAAGAAGTACGTCTTATAATGTTGACCCTATTGAAACTATTTCATGTATGAGTTATAAATGCTATGAGACCTTATGAAATCATATGTGTTGTTTAGTTTGCTTCTTTGTGATTTACTTGAATGTTTGTATGTTCAATGTAGGTTGTTGTTTGTTTTTTTTTTATTGTGGGTGTTACGCACTGGCTTCTGTTGTGAGAAATTAATCTCTTGATTTAAGTTATGGCTCGTGCAAACCATGCACAAGAAAGGACGATTCCATAGAGAAATACAATAGTAAAAGTACGACATCCAAAACAGTACTAATTGCAATTAATAAGATTTATTTAAGTATTAATATAATTACAAAACAAAAGAAATATAATTACAATCTTAAACTTACAGAGTATGAGAAGTCTTGCACCCGTACACAGCTAGTACAATGGACCACAAAAATAAGGTTACAATGATGAATGCGAATATAACACATATGAATACACACAAAGAATAATACACTTGTCTCGTGATTTTAAAAATATCTATAAATCAAGCTCCGACCCTCTGATATTGCTCTTTTTGCTTTTATAGTTGGTTCTACCGAAAAATCTAGGCGTATTCAGGATTGTGCCAGTAACTAGAAGATTCCACAATCTACTACAACCTTCGAACGCCTTCAAGTACACAAGAAACCGGCGATAGATCAAAGAGATTAAGCCATGCGCATTCGGAACGCAGCCTGATTTTGGGGTCAACCAGAGTTCAAGGCACGGGGAAAGTGTCGTAAAATCGTCATACATAACAGTGGGGATGTTTCTGAAGTGAGGAGGGAGGTTGGAAGGGGTCAGAATGTACATGACGATATGAAAATGTCATGTGAGAATATTTTTCTATACATTTTGTTTCAACATATTGGAACTACTACTTGCTGATGACAAATTACGGTCGACAAAAATGTTCATTCATTAGTAGACGTCTTAACAGGTTGCACTTTTGACGTGTAACTAACTCCTTTTCCATGTAGTAGGATGATCAGTACCATGCTCAGTGAGCGCCTCGGTCTTATCGCTGTGGTGTCTATTGTATAGGTCACGAACTCTTCATTACAGGCAGACCAGCATTTCATCTGTTTAGGCCAAATGTCATCCCCCCTCCCACCTATTCCCAGCCTCAAAAGTCAGCAGATTGGTGTTCTATATCCGGGTCCTACCAGTGACTTAGAGAAATAGATACAATGACATATACCATTAAAAGGTACGATAAAACAACCGACTGGTGGTCAACGAAGGATCATTGAATAACAGTGCCCTACGGTGAGCAAAAAGAGCTGTGCCATGTCCCCCTGAACCAGAGCTGTACAGTATGCTCATCAATAAGATAAGGCAAGATAAGGTGAGATATGATAAGATACTTTCATTCATCCAAATAAATGGAAATTTCTAGGTATTTTTTTTTTCATTTAAAATACATATTTTTTTGAGTTTTTCGGTTTTAATAAAATTAGTCTGTAAGAAGTCTTTCGCTGAATAATTTTGAACAGAGTCTAAGCTTTTTATTTTAACGGAGTTATCGTTTCTTTTTAAAAATACACAGACACTCCGAATGTCTAAGCCGATGTGTCTTTGTGACGCTCCTTATGTCTATAGCCTATGTGTCTTTGTGACGCTCCTTATGTCTGTAGGCAATGTGTCTTTGTGACGCTCCTTATGTCTATAGCCTATGTGTCTTTGTGACGCTCATTATGTCTATTGCCTATGTGTCTTTGTGACGCTCCTTATGTCTGTAGGCAATGTGTCTTTGTGACGCTCCTTATGTCTGTAGGCAATGTGACGCTCCTTATGTCTGTAGGCCATGTGTCTTTGTGACGCTCCTTATGTCTGTAGGCCATGTGTCTTTGTGACGCTCCATATGTCTGTATGCAATGTGTCTTTGTGACGAATGTGTCTTTGTGTCGCTCCTTATGTCTATTGCCTATGTGTCTTTGTGTCGCTCCTTATGTCTGTAGGCTATGTGTCTTTGTGACGCTCCTTATGTCTGTAGGCAATGTGACGCTCCTTATGTCTGTAGGCAATGTGTCTTTGTGACGCTCCTTATGTCTGTAGGCAATGTGTCTTTGTGACGCTCCATATGTCTGTAGGAAATGTGTCTTTGTGACGCTCCTTATGTCTGTAGGCAATATGTCTTTGTGACGCTCCTTATGCCTATAGGCAATGTGTCTTTGTGACGCTCCTTATGCCTAAAGGCAATGTGTCTTTGTGACGCTCCTTATGTCTGTAGGCAATATGTCTTTGTGACGCTCCTTATGCCTGTAGGCAATGTGTCTTTGTGACGCTCCATATGTCTGTAGGAAATGTGTCTTTGTGACGCTCCTTATGTCTGTAGGCAATGTGTCTTTGTGACGCTCCTTATGCCTTTAGGCAATGTGTCTTTGTGACGCTCTTTATGTCTGTAGGCAATGTGTCTTTGTGACGCTCCTTATGTCTGTAGGCAATGTGTCTTTGTGACGCTCTTTATGCCTGTAGGCAATGTGTCTTTGCGGCGCTCCTTATGTCTATAGGCAATGTGTCTATAGACAATGTGTCTTTGTGACGCTTCTTATGTCTATAGCCCATGTGTCTTTGTGACGCTCCTTATGTCTGTAGGCAATGTGTCTTTGTGACGCTCCTTATGTCTGTAGGAAATGTGTCTTTGTGACGCTCCTTATGTCTGTAGGCAATGTGTCTTTGTGACGCTCCTTATGTCTGTAGGCAATGTGTCTTTGTGACGCTCCTTATGTCTGTAGGCAATGTGTCTTTGTGACGCTCCTTATGTCTGTAGGCAATGTGTCTTTGTAACGCTCCATATGTCTGTAGGCAATGTGTCTTTGTGACGCTCCTTATGTCTGTAGGCAATGTGTCTTTGTGGCGCTCCTTATGTCTATAGGCAATGTGTCTATAGACAATGTGTCTTTGTGGCGCTCCTTATGTCTATAGGCAATTTGTCTTTGTGACACTCCTTATGTCTATAAGTAATGTGTCTTTGTTACACTACTTATGACTGTAGCAGAAGTGTCTTTTTTACACTCCTTTTGTCTGTAGGCGATTTGTCTTTGGTGGGTTTTCATATGCCAAGAAAGATAATTTTTGAATTAGAAAAAAAAAATGAATTGTAGGATTCAACACTATACCAGATAAGCGTATCAGACAACCTGACAAGAGGGGGTTGAGGTGGCAGAAGTGGTATGATATCATGAAGCAACAAAAATAACATTTAGTGTCACGAGTAAAAAAAAAAAGCAAAAAAAATGCAAACAATTCCAGTAGCAGCCACCCACAGAGTCAGGATTCTAGAGCGTAACTATAGAGAGGTACGGCGTGTGTGGACACCTGTAGAACAGTGAAGACAAGATCAGCTTAGCGTTTGTGCGTGCTATTTTCTTTCCTAATCATGTTGATGGAGGGCCAGAAGTCCGTAAAGAACTGAGTCTACAGGTAGTGCTGCGTGGGAACTCTGAGCCGGTGGACCAGAGTTGTCAACCATCCAAAAACGATTTGTCCCCAGCAGAGGCGTAGTCATATTTAGTGCCACCCGGATGGGCCAAGACTGTTGCGGTCTCTTTCCTCGAAATAAAATATGCAGTTGGGCGAAAATCCCGCCATTCATATCCACCTATTCCACACCCTTAGATGAACACTACCTATACGTAACTGAGGGCTAAAAACCAGGATATAAAGAAAACCGATACAACTCTAATTACACTAGCAATGTTCAATTTAGTTATACTATTAAATTTATATAGAAATAAAAATTATATTAACTTACAGAACAGCATTGAAAAAGTGTAATGCTCGATTAATGTATACACACGTAAAGAGTAAAATCTTGTAAGGCTCCTATAAGTATATCAAAAGTCTCATTTGTCTTATAGTCGTGTCTAGGAAATGTAATGAAAATCTCTTCTGGCTGGGAAAGTCGTCGTCTTATTTATAGTGAAGGCGCTAGAACCCTCCAGATAAAATATGGAAAGTGCATCACCGGAAAGGATTCTTTTTTTTTTTAAATTTGAACGTTAACAACCTTTTCCCAACAAGGGAGGGGTGGCTGTTCTGACATTAGAATTTAGAACTTTGAACAAGTGAGAAGAGTAGAGATAACAGTTACAGACCTGCAGATTGACAAGTGTGGTGTCTTATCAAGACGTATGTAAATAGCTGTCAATTTTTATTTTATTTTATTTTTTATATATTTTTTTTGTGCGCTTTAGCTCTTATCACCCAGTTACTTCTGACTCCATTGACGTCCTGTTTCAAATTTTCAGAAAATGCTCCAGCAACACAAAGAATGTTGTACTGATATCGACTTAAATAATCTGCAACAAAATCCCATTAACATTTTATTTTAAATTTAACGTAAATTTTTTCTCATAAGAGCAAATGTTCCTTTTTTTTTTTAATTGGCTAAAATAAAAATTATTTGATTATATTAATTTTTCAAAATTACAATGATAGGGACC